GGAAGTCGGGAGTTGGAGCTGACCTCAAGGCCCTCATTATTTCTTACCTGAACAATTAAATTACCCCTTCACTCCGGACCTAACCTCACAGTTTGACAGTTTATTCCCACAAGGCAACCACAGTCACCTTTCTACTAAAAATACATCAGCACCTCTCTCCTGCCCTTAGGTAAACAGCTAATCTCAGTTTAACTGGAAGGCACTTTAAGAACGAAGCCCCAGAGGATACTAGGCCAGCGTTTCTTTAAGTTACGCAGACCTTTTATTATCAGTTTATTTTGTGCCTGGATGATCTGATTAACTTCTACCAATAACTCTTTAAAGCAGAAGCCAGGATACTTCCTTCTGGTTTTGAGAAAATTTGATAAATCAGTTCTTAACTTACAAAACAGATAAATTAGAAATTATATTTTTAAAAGATTATTTTGCTAGTTCCTTTATACTGGTAGGTTTGTAGTGTACCTAAGCATTTAATTGATCATGAAATATGTAACAGAAAGGATAAGAATTTAAAAAACAATTTTACTTAATGTTTTGGGAGCCAATGCCAGTTGGCATTAGTTATACCCACCTCCCCACCATGCAATTATTTACAAGTAAAACTAAGAATTTTTGAAACTGAGTTAGAGAAAAGTATTTTTATAATGTGCTTTTTTCAGGTATGTTCATTGTGTTAAGCAAATTACTTACAGCTAAATTATACTCTTTTCCCATGTCCTATTGTTGAACATCAGAAAAAGTTCTAATAATGGCTTGAACCAGGGAAAGGATTTAGCTATGTTACAATGCTGACTTCTACCAATAATTTTCATCTCCAGCCTTTTGCATTCTTTCTCAGCAGTCTGACTGGGACAATTCAGACTCACCGAAGATTTTTCTCATTATTTTCTTTTTCTTTCTCTCCCACTGGCCTCTAGTCATGTGCTTCCCCTAAAATATGTTCACCATATGTGGGGAATTTTGTAGACCCTCTCCTCTCAAAGGTAGGGGTGTGTGTGTGTGTGTGTGTACGTGAGAGAGAGAAACGGCATGGGAAGGGGTCATGCCTATGTGCGTGTTTGGCAGACGTTTCCATCCCCGTGCCAGAGTCAATGGTCTCATTTCTAGCAAGCCAGCAGTGCTGAACGCAGCTCCAATCTGAGTCCCACAGCTGCCTGTGGTACAGGCCTCTACATCTTTCACTGTTACTCTGTAGATGGAAGAAAGAAAGCAGGAACGTGGGTCTAGGCACTGCATTTCCGCCAGGACAGTTGGGGCCACCAGATACTGTGTTACAAGGGTCCAGACAGACCAGGGAAAAGTCGAGGGAGGAGAGGGGGATCTGCAGCTCTGGAATGTGGCCTCGTTCTCTAATTAGAGTTATGTTGTTTCCCAGGAAACAAAAATCAATAATCACAGAAGAAGAGAGGCTATGGACAAATTGGTTTGTGAATGACAGCCAGAGAGGGACTACATATTTCTTGGCTTACTGTACATAAATAAAAGTTATTTATACTCACCAACTGTCCCTTGCCTTAGCGGTGTAAAACCAAGGCCTTAAGCTGAGCAGAGAGTCTAGTGCTTACATTTATTCTGGTCATTTAGGAAACATATTTGAGTGTATTTATACTTGTTAAACCTCGAAGTTGTTCGCTGCCAACAACAGGAGCTGTTTCAGCTCGCCATGGAAAAGGAGAAAACGTCTGCATAGATTAGTGAACTCGGGGAACGAATATATTTGTAAAATTGGCATCACCTCCAAAGTTCCTAGGGGGAGATAAGAATCTAAATGGCCCATGGCATAAATAATAAGGTTGGAAAACTATTATATAATCAAACTCTGCATATATTTCCTTCTCTGTAGTTTCCAATAAGACCACGTCCTTCCCTAGATCTGTACCCCTGTGTCACTTGATGAGCAAGTTGCAATACTTGTGTGACTTCTATCCTGGACGTAGGTACGGGTTATAGGTTAACTATACCTTCAAGAAGAGTTTTCTTGCTGTCAGAACAATAGTGAAAAAAAAAATACAGGCTTTGAAGCCAGACATACTCAGCTTGAATCTTACTGCCACTTCTTTTTGGTTGTGAGACAGTGGGCAAGTTGGTCAGGCTCCCTGAACTCCATTTTTAATGTCATAATAGGAATTTAAATAAGGTAATATGTCTTGTCTAGCAAATGTTAACTTTCAGTCCCCCTCTTCCACTATGCACAATGCTCCCACCCTAGGTTCCTTGATATTGAGGGATTTGTATAAGGGCAGAATGGGATTCGCAGATGGAGAGAAAGTTAAACGGCAATGCCCCTTTTTATCTTCAATAATAATGTATTTTCAGAAGAGTTTGTTGTTGAAGGTTTTTTGAGGACTTTTAAAGAAATACTAAAACATTCAGAAAAGTGTGAAGCTGCATGGCTGCCTTTCGAGTTGCTTACCTTTCGGCATACTTGCTTCATATACTTTTGATTTTTACACATTAAACGTCACAAATATAATAGAAGCTTTTCTGCTTAGCTGTAATGCCCTTTTCCGCTCTGCCTTCCCAGAGGTAGCCACTGTTATATTCACTGGATACTCATCATTCCCACAAACGTATTAATATTTGTAATGCATATGATGTAGCTGTTAACAATCTATATTATTAGTGTGGCGTGTTTTAAAACTACGTGAGTGGCCGGGCGCGGTGGCTCACGCCTGTAATCCCAGCACTTTGGGAGGCTGAGGCGGGTGGATCACGAGGTCAAGAGATCGAGACCATCCTGGTCAACATGGTGAAACCCCATCTCTACCAAAAATACAAAAAATAAGCTGGGCGTGGTGGTGCGTGCCTGTAATCCCAGCTACTCAGGAGGCTGAGGCAGGAGAATTGCCTGAACCCAGGGGGCAGAGGTTGCGGTGAGCCGAGATCGCGCCATTGCACTCCAGCCTGGGTAACAAGAGTGAAACTCCATCTCAAAAAAAAAAAACTCCATGAGTGGCAGCGTGCTGCACATACCCTCTTGCATCTATTTTTTTGTGTACAATGTCACATGCTTGGGATTTATTTAGTTTGACTGCTATACTGTTTGCATTGTCTGGCTCCTTCACAGTGTATCCATTTGCCTGGCAAAGGATATTTAGATTTTTTTTTAACTTTATTACTACAAACGATGCCACAGAGGGCATACTTGTCTATGCCTTTTGTACACATATGGAAGACTTTCTTTAGGTGTATGAATGTATGCCTAAGAGCATATTCAGGAGGATCATCGGGATTATCATCAGCCTCGGTGGATGTTGCCAGCTGGTTCTCCAAAGCGGCATTCTAACTTCCATTACCGCAAACAGGAGCTTTCCTCCGCAATGGTTGGCATTATTGGACATAGGACTTGTGCCATTATAATGCGTGAAACATGCCATCTTATTGTGGTTTTCATTTGAATTTCCCTGACTACTGTTAAGGTTAAGCATTTACTTCTTATGTTTTAACCCCTTTGTTTTCTTCTATAAATTGTTTTCTCATATCTTTTGCCCACTTTTAAAATTATTTATATCTTCCTATTGACTTGTATGGGTTCTCTATATATTCTTTCCACATTCATATTCCAGTCCTTTATAATACATATCATTTTCCAGTTGTACTTGGTTTTTTAGTTTCTAAATGCTGTCTGTTGTTCAGAGTTTTTTGTAGCTGCTGTTGTTGTTTTTTAATATAGTCAATTCAGTATTTTCCTTTACGGTTGTATGATTCTGGAGTATGTGTTTTAAGTACTCTATAATGGCCTAGTGCGATAGCTGTCCTGTTATATTATCTCTTGACTGTGGTAAGTTTTGCTTTTCACGTGTAAGACTGAGTTATATAGATCTTATAAATTCGGTCACATTTTATTTACAATATTTTAAATAAATCACATTGGTAAATATTACCACAGCTCTCATCAGGAATGTCTTGACATATTGGAAGCTGTCTAACACGTAATGATGGATACATGTTTTCTAAAATCCTAATTTATGCTGGAAAGCTGAAATTTTTATAACCAGTACCTTCTGTGGGGTTTTTTCCTTGAAATGCCTTTGTTCTTTTGCTTCCTCTTGATAAATTTTGTTAGAGACTACTGTGTTAACAATTTAGAGGATGTATTTTTGATTTTATGAGGCTCTTACTATATCTTTGTGTTTTATTTCTTTTCTTTCCTTTTCCTTTTTTTTGAGACGAAGTCCGACTCTGCCACCGAGGCCAGAGCACAGTGGCGTGATCTTGGCTCACTGCAACCTCTGCCTTCTGGGTTCAAGTGATTTTCATGCCTTAGCCTCCCAAGTAGCTGGGATTGCAGGTGCCTGCCACCATGCCTGCTAATTTTTGTATTCTTATTTAGTAGACATGGGGTTTTCCATGTTGTCTAGGCTAGTCTCAAACTCCTGCTTCCTTTGTTTTTTATTTCATTACTTTCTTTCCCTCCTCCCTTTTATTTTCTTTGAAATTATATGGTTGTGCTTTTACTAACTTTTTAAGCGGGCCTCATTAATTTTCAGCCATTCTTTCTAATATAAACATTTAAGAGCGCAGTATAAATGTCCTTCTAAGTTCTGTTTTATCAGCATTGGCAAAGTTGTGATATGTTATAGTATTTTCACTAAACTGATTCTGAATAATTTCTAATTTTCACTATTATTTCCTATTTGATCTATGATTTATTTAGAAGTATGTGTTTAAATTTCCAAGTACAGGGCTCTTTTTTTCAGTTAGCTTTTTTAAAATATTGATTTCTAATTCCATTGCATATTACTCAAAGAATATAGTCTCTATGCTTTCAGAGCTTTTGTATTTTTAAAGCTTGAATTTAGCAAATGGCGAATTTTTACAAATATTCTATTTAAGCTTGAAAATACTATCTTCTGATTCAATGAATTTCAAATTTTTTTATCACTCATGACTATCAGTAAAAGATTTTTGAGATTTACCCTTAAGATAGCTATATACTGTACATCATTGTATTAATCTGTTTTCATGCTGCTGATAAAGACATACCTGAGGCTGGGAAGAAAAAGGTTTAATTGGACTTACACAGTTTTACATGGCTGGGGAGGCAATGGAATCATGGCAGGAGCTGAAAGGCACTTCTTACACAGTAGTGGCAAGAGAAAAATCGGAAGAAGCAAAAGTAGAAACTGCTGATAAACCTATCAGATCTGCTGAGACCTATTCACTATCAGGAAAATAGCACTGGAAACACCGGCCCCCATGATTCAATGCCTCCTGCTGGCTCCCTGGCACAACATGTGGGAATACTGGGAGATACAAGTCAAGTTGAGATTTGGGTGGTGACACAGCCAAATCTTACCATTCCGCCCTTGGCCCTTCCAAATCTCATGTCCTCACATTTAAAACCAATCATGCCTTCCCAACAGTCCCCAAAGTCTTAACTCATTTAAACATTAACCTAAAATCCACAGTCCAAAGTCTTCTCTGAGATATGGCAAGTCCCTTCTGCCCATGAGCCTGTAAAATCAAAAGCACGCTAGTTACTACCTAAATACAATGGGGGTATAGGTATTGGGTAAACATAGCTATTTCAAATGAGAGAAATTAGCCAAACAAAAGGGTTACAGGGCCCATGAAAGTTCAAAATCCAGCAGAGCAGTCAAATCTTAAAGCTCCCAAATGATCTCCTTTGATTCCAGGCCCACATCCAGGTCACGCTGATACGAGAGGTGGGTTCCCTTGATCTTGGGCAGCTCCAGCCCTGTGGCTTTGCAGGGAATAGCCTCCCTGTACTACCTGGCTGCTTTCACAGGCTGGCGTTGAGAGTCTGTGGCTTTTCCAGGCACATAGGGCAAGCTGTCGGTGGATGTACCATTCTGGGGTCTGGAGGATGGTGGCCCTCTTACAGCTCCACTAGGCAGTGCCCCAGTGGGGACTCTACATGGGGGCTCCAACCCAACATTTCCCTTCTGCACTGCCCTAGCAGAGGTTCTCCATGAGGGCCCCACCCCTGCAGGAAACTTCTGCATGGGCATCCAGGTGTTTCCATACATCTTCTGAAATCTAGGCAGAAGTTCCTAAACCTCAGTTCTTGACTTCTGTGTACCCACAAGCCCAACCCCACATGGAAGCTACCAAGTCTTGGGGCTTGCACTCTCTAAAGCCACAGCCCGAGCTCTGGGTTGGCCCCTTTCAACCACAGCTGGAGCAGCTAGGACACAGGGCGCCAACTCCCTAGACTGCACACAGCACAGGTACCCTGGGTCTGGCCTGCAAAACCACTTTTTCCTCCTGAGCCTTTGGGCCTTTGATGGGAAGGGCCACTGTGAAGGTCTCTGACAGGGCCTGGAGACATTTTCCCCATTGCATTGGGGATTAACATTAGGCTCTTTGCTACTTATGCAAATTTCTTCAGTGGACTTGAATTTCTCCCCAGAAAACTGGTTTTTCTTTTCTATCACATAGTCAGGCTGCAAATTTTCCAAACGTTTATGCTCTGCTTCCCTTATAAAACTGAATACCTTTAAAAGTACCCAAGTCACCTCTTGAATGCTTTGCTGCTTAGAAATTTCTTCCACCAGATACCCTAAATCATCTTTCTCAAGTTCAAAGTTCCACAGATCTCTATGGCAGGGGCAAAATGTGCCCGGTCTCTTTGCTAAAACATAATAAGAGTCACCTTTGCTCCTAGTCACAACAAGTTCCTCATCTCCATCTGACACCACCTCAGCCTGGACCTTATTGTCCATATCGCTATCAGTATTTTAGGTAAAGCCATTCAATAAGTCTCTAGGAAGTTCCAAACCTTCCCACATTTTCCTGTCTTCTTCTGAGCCCTCCACACTGTTCTAACCTCTGCCTGTTACCTGGTTCCAAAGTCATTTCCACATTTTCAGGTATCTTTTCACCAACGCCCCACTCTACTGGTACCAATTTACTATATCAGTCTGTTTTCCTGCTGCTGATAAAGCATACCCGAGACTGGGAAGAAAAAGTTTAATTGGACTTACAGTTCCACATGGCTGGGGAGGCCTCAGAATCATGGTAGGAGGCAAAAGGCACTCCCTACATGGAGGCTAAGGTGGAAAGAGAAAAATGAGGAAGAAGCAAAAGTGGAAGCCCCTGTAAACCCATAAGATCTCATGTGACTTATTCATGATCATGAGAATAGCACGGGAAATACTGGCCCTCACGATTCAGTAACCTCCCCCTGGGTCCCTCCCACAACACCTGGGAATTCTGGGAGATACAATTCAAGTTGAGATTATGTGGGGTGACAGCCAAACCATATAACTCATACAACTTTTCTTTAAAGCAAAAATTTAAAAGATGGGATTAAAAATGAATATAAGTAAAAGTCCTTTTTGTTTGTTTTCCTTTTAACTTGCTGTGCTTCAGGAGATAGTCTTGCACAGCCTCTGAGAATCACAAATCTTATACTGGAAACCAGTATTTTAATTGCTCATCTTTAGTGACCACAATGCTATCTTCGTAGGTTCAAGTAAATACTCAGAATCACGAGACTACCACAGGCTATATATGGTACTAGTCTACTTAAAAGAACATAGAACAAGAACCTTAGCTTGCCAGCAAGTTAGCTTCTCTAAACAAGAGTCCTTACTAGAGCAGTCCCCATATCAGTAGGCAGCTAGCTCCAGGGATTATTTTCTCTCCAGGTATACATGTAGGTCTAGGAGCTGTTTTTTCTCCAGCCCAAATACAAGGAGGTGAGATCCACATCAGTGGGTAGGACAGTCTCCCTTGGCAGAGAATACTCATTTTTCCATAAGAGCCAATATCTTTATTATTATTATTATTATTTTTTTTTACAAATTTTTACATTTCATGTATAGACTTTGGGGTCACTATAAGAGAGGTACCAGTTACAAGACTCACTATACTCAGGAAAGCCTAAACTATGACTTTCTCTCAGGTGTTTATACTTCTCTAAGCCTAGATGTACTTTGCCAGCTGGTGATTATTTTTATCATAATCAATGTTACCCAGCAGTGTTGTTAACACATACTGTTTTATCCGACAAATACGATAAATACAGACCTAGGTTGTTGATGCAGAGTCAGAGTCTCATGGAACAGGTGAAACTGTTTTGTTATCCTATTCATTCAGTTGGTTACTAGAGTCTATTAACTAATAGAATCCATTAGATCAGTCGTTTTGCTACTCTTTACTACCATTTATGTACTTCTGTTTATGTTTGCCTATTTTTTAGTATGTCTAGTAATTTTGGCTAGACAGAGCAGTAACTTGTGAACACTTAATGGTGGAAAAATACCTATGAGGAAGTAGCTTTTCCCTAAGGGAGAAGGTAGCATCCAACTTCCTGATCCTAAATATGTAGTTTTGTGAGACTACGTTCCTTTATTTTTTCAGTCTTCTATCTCTATCTTCCTTAAGTGGGTTAATTTCTACTGATCTATCTTTTCATTCAGTGACTCTTTCTTCTGTCCTCCCAGTGGATGTTTAAGACTTTATGATGGTATTATTTCAGATATCGTATGTTTTCATTCTAGTATCTTTATTTGCTCTTTTTTTTATAGGTTTAAAACATTTATCTGCTGATTGTTTTCTGTTTATTCATTTCAGGAATATTTTCATTTGTATCTTTAAGCGTAGTTGTGATAGTCGCTTCAAAATTTTTGGTCATTAAATACAACAATTGGAACATCTTGGGTTTGGTCTCCATTGACTGCCTTTCTTCATAAGAATGGTTTATGTTTACCTGTTTTTTAATATGTCTTTTTTTAAACTTTTATTTTAAGTTTAGGAGCACAAGTGCAGGTTTGTTACATAGGTAAACTTGCATCCTGGGGGTTTGGCACACAGATTATTTTATCACCCAGGTATTAAGCCTCGTACCCATTAGTCATTTTTCCTGATCCTCTTCCTCCTCCTACCCTCCACCCTCTGAAAGGCACCACTGTGTGTGGTTCTCCTCAATGTGTCATGTGTTCTTATCATTTAGCCCCTACTTATAAGTGAGAATATGCAGTATTTGGTTTTGTTTCTGTGTGTGTTTGCTGTGGGTAATGGCCTCCAGCTCCTTCCATGTCCCTGCAAAGGACATGACCTATTTATTTTATATTGATCTATAGACTTCTCACAATCACAATGATGTTTTCAACATATATTTTTATATAAACTGACACACTGGATCTGAAATGTGTAAGATGATGCAAAGTACTTAGAATACTCAAACAACTTTGAAAGAGAAAACACAACCAGAGGACTTATACTGCCTTCAAAGCTTACTGTACAGCTATGATAACTGAGAGTGTAGCATGGACGTAAGAATAGACTTACAGGTCACTGAAAGGAAATAGGGAATCAAGAAGTAGTCAGATATTTTCAATGAAGGGGTCAAAGCAGGGGGGAAAAGATAGTTGTTTCATCAAAGGATGCTAGATCTCCAGCCAGATGTCTATGTGAGGGAGAACATGAACCTTGACTCTTACCTCATACCATTAACAAAGAAGATCAACTTAAAACCCCTGTGGACTTAAGTGTAAAAACTAAAGCTATGAAACTTCTGAAGGAAATCATGGGGAAAATTTTCTAGGCCCTGAAGATAGGCCAAGATTTCTTAATAGTACACAAATAACTTAAAAGAAAATGTCAATACATTTGAATTCATCAAAAGATAAAGCTTCTATTCTTCAAAAGCAACATTAAGAAAGTGAAAACATAACCCATAAAATGGGAGCAAATATTCACAGCACATGTATCTGACAAGGCTTTTATCCAGCTGTATAAAAATCTCTTATCTCAGTAATAAGGAGACAACCTATTTTTTTTTTTTTTATTTTTGAGATGGATTCTTGCTCTGCACCTAGGCTGGAGTGCATTGGTAGGATCTCGGCTTACTGCAAACTTGCCTCCAGGGTTCAAGCAATTCACCTGTCTTAGCCTCCAGATTAGCTGGGATTACAGGTGCTCCCAGCCATGCCTGGCTAATTTTTCTAGTTTTAGTAGAGATGGAATTTCACCATGCGGCCAGGCTGGTCTTGAACTCTTGACCTCAAATGATTGTTCCACTGTGGCCTCCCAAGGTGCTGGAATTATAGGTGTGAGCCATCCTAATATTGTAAATGGGCACTAGATTGGAGTAGGCATTTCACAAACAAAGATAACAAATGGCCAATAAGCACATGAAAAGTTCAATATCATACTTGTCAGAAAAATGAAAAATAAAACCATGTAAGATACCATTTCACCCACTTGGATGACCACACTCAAAAATACTGTTAACACTGTGTTTTGGCATGGATGTGGAGAAACTGGAATCCTTTGACATTGCTAGTAACAGTTTAAAATGATAAATCTGTCTTAGAGAACAGTTTGTCAAAGTTAAGCGTAGACTTACCACATGACCCAGCAATTCTGTTCCTAGGTATTCACCCAAAAGGCTTTGCCCACAATCTACGAAAAGGCTTGTACAAAACATGCTGAGTATTACAGACAAGCATAAGAGTTTATATATATTATACAGTTTCATTTACATGATATAGAATAGGCCTAACCAATTCATAGTAACGAAACTGATCAGTGGTTTCCAAGAGCAAAGGGTACAAAGGGATATGAGAACTTTTTGGAAGAATTGAAATTTTCTGTGTCTTGATTGGTGTGTTGGTTACACATGTGTGTAGATTTGTCAGAATTCATTGAACTGAACAACTAAAATGAGTGGATCTTATTGTTTATATAGTGTGCCTCACCAGGCTTGATTTATATATGACTATATATATTTAGTTTATATATATATATATATTATATATTTAGACTAGAGTCTAAGTCTATATAGTAGATTGCTATATATATACTATATATATATATATAGTAGATTACTACATATATAGTATATATATATAGATTACTATATATATATATATATATACTATATATGTAGTCCACATATATATGATTAAAATGTATAATATTTAAATGAAGAAGCTCATAGGATGTTGTTATAGAAACCAAAAGAAAGAAGGAAAGCCCGTGGAATTGTATAGTGTAGGGAACACTGCAGGTAGTTTAGTGCAGCTAAAAAGTTGGTATGGGCCAGGCGCGGTGGCTCACACCTGTGATCCCAGCACTTTGGGAGGCCGAGGTGGGCAGACTGCTTGCGCTTAGGAGTTGGAGACCAGCCTGGGCTACATGGTGAAACCTTGTCTCTACTAAAAATAAAAAAATATAAAAAATTTAGCTGGGCATGGTGGCACTTGCCTGTAATCCCAGCTACCCAGCTACTTGGCAGGGCTGAGTGAGAATTGCTTGAGCCTGGGAGGTCAAGGCTGCAGTGAATTGAGCTCACACCATTTTACTCCAGCCTGGCAACGGAAAGAGAGACCCATCTTAAAACAAACAAACACAAACAGTTACGGTGTAAAATTTTCATCTGATATTTGAATCACACATTCAGAATGCAACCAAGAAGCAAGCTGCTCAGAGGTTTATTCTGTAAACTAATTATTTGATTTGTTGATGTATCATATTCTCTATACTGATAGTTCATTTGTTTCCTTTATCAACTGCTTTTCTTTAATCTCCCCAAATTCTGCTCCAATCTATAACTCTCAGTTATTTCCTTTTCTCTTTCTTTCTATTTTTTTTTTTTTTTAAGACGGAATCTCCCTCTGTTGTCCGGGATGGAGTGCAGTGGATTGATCTCGGCTCACTGCGACCTCCGCCTCCTGGGTTCAAGCAATTCTTGTGCCTCAGCCTCCCGAGTTGCTGGGACTATAAACGTGCACCACCACACCCAGCTAACTTTTTTGTACCACCACGCTCGGCTAGCTTTTTTGTATTTTTAGTAGAGATGGGGTTTTGCTATGCTGATCTTGAACTCCTGACCTTAAAGAATCCACCTGCCTCGGCCTCCCAAAGTGGTGAGATTACAGGCATGAGCCACCATGCCCAGCCGCCGCTCAGATTTTTTTCTAGCCATTTTGTGTCTTTCTAATTCTAGACTAGTATTTCCAGCTCTCTTCTAGACATCTCTATGTGAATATCTTCAGAATGTCACGTTCAACATATCTGAAACCAGACCTTTCCTTTTTGCCTCAAACCAGCTCTTCCATCTGACTTTTAAAAATAATTTATTGAAACAAAACTCACATGCTATAAAATTTACCATTTTTTCCAACTTGAGAAATATGTTTCATCTATATTTTTACATAGTTTAAAAAAATTGTGAAATTCTTAAAACACACAATATTAAATTGATCATCTTAACCGTTTATAAGTATACAGTTCTGTAATGCTTGTTCACATTGCTGAATAACCAGCCTCCGGAACGATTTCACCTTGCAAAACTGAAAATTCTATACCCATTAAACAATA